CGCGACCCCCGCGCATCGCCGCCCCTCCCCCGTCCTTGCTCCCGCAGCCACGCGTCACCCGCAGCCTGGCAGTGGGGCCGTGGCCTTCCGCGTCCATCAGGAGCTGGAAGGAATGCGTACAGCGACGCAATGCTTCCAAAAAGACAAACAAATCTAAATTTAACCCAACTTACCCTCGTTTCCCAGGAGAAGGGGGCAGAGTGCTCATCTTGCCAAGTTATGTCCTGAAACAAAAATTCAAGAAAAAATCTGAAATCCAAACCCAAACACCCCACGCAAACATCCCCCAAGGCCACGGGGGCGCCCAAATTCACAGAGGACCCCAATTCCCGCCTCCCCGTGAGCCCGGCCTCTGCTGCTCTCAGGGTGGGCTCAGCTCCTTGGTCTGGGAGGCCAGGTGGGGACTTGGTGACAGGAAGCTGGGGAGGAAGGGAGGCAGGCCTGAGGGCACCCTCTCCTCCCCCCCGCCCCGAGCCCCCACAGGACGGCAACTCAGTCCTTTGAGCCTCAGTTCCCTCATCTGCAAAAGGAGACCCATTCTTCCCTCGCAGGGGACCGTGAGGACTGGACGGGGTGACACAACGCCAGGCAGGGGGCTGCAGGCCATGCCGAGAGGTCTGAGCAGCCTCCTCCCCCGAGGGCTGATGGCACCGATCAGCAGTCGATGAGGAAAACGCCAATTCAATGCAAGTGCCTGAGTCGAGGACCCTGAGGTTGCCCTGCCCCACCCAGCAGGGCGCGATGAATGGGGCCTCCGAACAGTTGCTGGCTGCGACCCCGCTGTGCCTGCTCATGCGCCCAGACGAGGGGGCGCCGGCTGTCCCTGCAGACCCCGGCCCCCACTGCCGCCCCACGTGGCATGCATCTTGCCGGTGCCCAGCCTCCTGTGGGGTCCTGCTCCCTGACCCAAACGCTGGGACCATCCGGGAGGCACGGACTGAAAAGGGGACCAGGGAGTGTGGGTGGGGGCTGCCCTTCCAGAGGTGCCCAGGCAACTCACGCCTCCCCCGCCCACCCTCCACAGGCCGCTTCCCGCCAGGCCGAGCCCCGCGTCTGCGCCATGCCCGGCTGTCCCGCAAACCTCAAAAGTGAGCGGGAGCCTGGCCGCTGCCCGCCCGTTTGCAATTTCAGCTCAACCCAAGTTACTTTTCAATTTACAAACTCCGTCCCTGCAAAAATGGAAACGGGCTGCCCGGAGGACCACGACGTAACTAGCCCTGTGGCTGGATGTCTCGGCAGAGGCCGTGGCTCCTGCGACGTGTGTGTGGTGTTGGGGGCGGGGGCGGGGCTCGAAGCTCCTCGTGTGTGTGGTGTTGGGGGGCGGGGGCAGGGCTCGAAGCTCCTCGGAGACTCAGGAAACAAGGGAGCTTTGTTTTCAGACGGGGGAAAAATAAAGGCGGCCGAGGGCACGTAAACGCCACTTCCCCTAGACGCGAACCGGCCAGGGAGGGAGCGCGGCCACGGGCCAGGGGACCCCGGAGCTGGGTCACCCTTCTCATGGGCGTGATCCGTCTTCTGAATGTTAATTGTGCACCTTGAGTCCCTTGAAATCTGCCACGGTTAAGAGAATACGGTTTTGGTGGGTTTGGGCTTTGGAAGGGGAATGATTGCGAGAGGCTGAGCAGCAGACAGCCCGGGGCTGGGGGAGCCAGCAGCCTCCAGGGACTGAGGCCACACTGGCTGCAATTCCAAGGGGGTCACAGACGGAGAGAGGGTCGTCTGTGATTTCTCCCCAACTTGGTGTCAAGTCAATAGTCTCCTGTTTGCTCCAGCAAGAAACTGAGTCGAGGGGCAAATTCCTTAGATTTCTGCAATTCTGACCTCACAAAAAATAATAAAGCACTTACCAAAAATAACCATGCCAAACAAAAATGCGATTGAGGCTCTGATGTCAGCCAGTGGCTGCATAGTCGAGCCACAAACAGCGCTGGCAGCCAGCACGGCTCTCCAGGCACTTGGATGCAAAACAGCGGCAGAACTGCAAAGTGGCAGCGCGCGCACACACACTCACACACGCGCGTGCACTCACATGCGCGCACACACATGTGCACGCGCACACGCACACACGCGCGTGCACGTGCACACACGCGCGCATGCACACACACGCGCGCATGCACACACTCTCACACACACACACACACACTCACACACGCGCGCGCACAGCTCACTCTCTGCTCCCATCCGGCCAGCAGGCAAGCAGCCGTGGCCAGGCACGCGTCTGTGGACAATCGCACGCGCTCTGAGCAGGGCGGCCCGGCCTGCCCTCCACCTGCCCCCGGCCCATCCGAGCTCCGGACACCTCTGCTGCTGCTGCCACCCAAGGGCACAGGGTGGGGTGCTCGGCCAAGAGCTCCCCTCCACGTCACACCCCCGAGCAGTGCTCACCGCTGAGCACACGACCCAGCGCAGCCAAGTCACCACGTTCTACACTACGTGCACTCTCGGCGACTCAACTTTTAAAGGGTTTTGGTCATTTTGCTTCTAGATCACTGGGTTACAAGTAAGTCCGCTACGATTGGCTGACTTCTCTGGGAAAGTCATGACTATTCACGACGATTCCAGGATTCTAAAGGGAGAAACCGGACTTAGAGTTCGTTTCGGGCTCAAACGGCAGCCGCCTCCCCCAACGAGCGTGAGCGGACACTCCGGAGCGTGTCCCCCCGGCTCTCTGCCAGCCGGGCGCCCGCGCACCATGCTGCCGCATCTCCAGCGTGTGCGAGCGAGGCGGCACCCGCGTGTGGCCCTTAGGTCCTCCTCAGGAGACCCCGAGAGGACAGTGGGGAGCGTGGGCTTCCAGGAGCCGCCGTGAGCACCAGGGCACGGCCAGGCCACCACGGTGTCACGGAGCACACGGCACCTCTCCTGTGGCAGCCACGGACTCGCCTCCCCGTAGGACAGGCGGGGGCTTCCTGCAGCCGCCGCCCGAACCACCGCACCTTCCCGCAGATGCCCTCCCTGTGGCGCTCTGTGACAGGTGCCGGGGGAATGGCCCCCTTCCTGGGTTCACGCTGGAGCTGTCTACAGACGCCACACTCGAGACGCGAAGAGTGCCCCGCAGAGCGGCGCCCGGCCTGGCTGCAGACCACAGTGCCTCAGGCGCCCTTTCCATGGGCAGGTCTGTGCGCCCCACCTGGCTCCGTTTCACAAAGCTGACAGCTCCCCAGGTAATGCCTCTGCGGCCGTTCCCCCGGGCAGTCGCCCAGCTGTCCTTCGTGATGCCTGACGCCCTCTTCACCCCGGGGACACCTGGCCACAAGGCCACGCGGCTGTGCTCGCTGACCTCCAGCCTGAGGGCTCTCTGCCGAGGTACCCGCGATCGATACTGCTGGGGGCTCTCATCGTCCCCAAATGAGGACCTCGCCCACACCAGCCGCGTCCCCGCCGCTCTCACGGGGCCAGGTCTCCGGGCCAGGCCCCTCGCGCCCTGCCCGCAGCGGACGAGATCATGGCCGTGCTCACTGGCGGACCGGCCACGGCGGGGGATGGGGCCCCGCATGCCGAGGCCCGGGCAAGGCTCCTTCTGCTCCTTCTTCCCCTCGTCCCAGCATTCAGAGTAGAGAAAGGCCACGACTCACTTCCAGGGACACGCGTGTGACATGCGCTGTGACCCTCCTGACCGCCAGACATGGGAGCTGGGCCGGGGGGAGCACAAAGGATGTTTAGGGCCGCGAAATACGCTGCATGACACTGTGATGGTGGGCACGGGCCATTATACATTCGTCCAGACCCACGGGGCGCACACCGCGAGTGACCCTAATGTGAGCGATAGACTGTGGGTGACAATGACGTGTCACTGTAGGTTCCCCGATTGCAATGAATGCACCACATGGTGGGGATGCTCAGAGTGTGGGGGAGGGGGCGTGTGGGGGCAGCGGCGTCGGGGATGGGGACGTGTGGGTGTGTGGGGACATGTGGGGGTATGTGGCGCGGGGGCG